TGATTACATATCATTGAACATATGATGTGTATTATTTAATTGGTAAATTTAAAATCCACGTTTGATTGACATAAAATATATATGGAAATATAAGAAATATAAGAAATATATATGATGTATTAAATATTTGAGAAATATGAAAGAAATATATGAGAATATGGAATGTATGAGAATATAAAAATAAAACTTGTAATATTAAAATATTACGAAATTAACAGTTTAATATCTATCACGTTATTAATATTGAAAAAGAAAAGATTGTGAAAATCGAATGTTTGGGGGGGGGGGAGGAGAGGGAAATTTGATTCAATGGAAATAATCAGAAGACATTTGAGTTCCTATATTTATATATATTGAAAAAGTTGGCACAAAAATCAATGTGAAAAATAATCTAATTTATTTATTATTTAATAATTTTTTTCATTCTCATGTAATAATTACTTATGAATATATTGTGAAATGATGTAATAATGAATTTGGAAATCTTCCGCTTTTTACTATTTCAAAAAAAACAAATTAACTGGTTTGTAGTACTAAATCATTAAAATAGACATCTCGTGATGAAAAATATCCTTAACTAATCACGAGACTACTACTTTAAATAAATATATTTATATTGCTCAAAAAGTTAAATTAAAAATTGTTGTTCTTAAAAGATATTTACGGTAGTATTATCGATCATTCGCTAGCTCAATACGTCAATCTTTAACTATATTTACAAAAATTTTGTCAGTTTGTGCAGAAATTCAAATGCTAGCTGTCGTTTTTTTTTTCATTATCATTATTATAGTTATTGTTATTATAAATTATTAATTAGTCGTATGTCGGTTACTGCTTGCTGTCTGTCTGTTGCGTTACTTAAAGAAACTTTCATTAAATTAACGGTTTCTTTTTTCTTTAAAGGTTCACGATCATCCAGAACTAAGCGAAAAACTAGATTTCAATTAATGCAATATTTTTTTTATATTTGCCCACGCGTTTTTATAATATTAATTTTCATGTGATTCATTTCTTTGATTATATAGAAAATTAATTAATAATTAATTAATATATATATATATATATATATATAATAGAATAGGTTATAATAGATTATAATAGGTTATAATAGATTATAATTGGTTATATACTTTTTTTTTTTAAATATTTTATATTGATACAGTATTTCTTTGATCTCTTGTATCTTTATTAATTGCCGGAAATTTTCGGATAAATTTTAGTCAAAGTGTTCATAATGTGTTCTATAATAGATAATTTATATCATTCGTCGTTCATTTCCGGTTTAATTTGAAAATATTCGAAAGTATGTAAAAGTTCGAATAAAAAGAAAAAAAAAAGATATTAAAAGACATATAAGAAATGAAGCTTTTAACAAAGGATTATGCACATCCTATTGTTCAAACTAAATTACACATGCGCATCCAGTGCAATTTACTTGTTCCGTAATGATCACAATCGTACAATATTGACAACTTTTTTGGTTTTCTTCTTTATATAAATATCTAAAATTACGAGATAAATTAAATGTTGAATATTTAAGTAGCACTACATAGAGATGGATAATAAAAATACAAATAAATAAATATTATATAATTAATACACTGCGGGAATTGGTTTTGGTTTATTGAAATCAATGAAACAATCGTGTTACCTTTCTGTTTGTTCACCTCGCAATTTCGTAATTTAAGGAGAAAATAAAATATAATGAAGGTAATTATCTTGATAATGATGAATTTAAAATTAACTTTAAGTTTTGCCTAAAAATGATAGCTAAATTATTCTAGATAACAGAGATAAAAACATTAAATAATTTAGATATTATTTAGATATGAATTATAATAATTTGTAAAATTTCAAAGAAGTAAAGTAAAATTAAGTTTAAATTTATAGATCAAATATATTATTATTAATTATTATTTAAAGAAATATGAATTTTTTTAAATATTATCAATCGATAATTTTGGCTATTTGTAGAGAAGTCTGATTTTCCATTATTTCTTTAAAATTTCCCCGAATCTTTAATTTATTATTATAATACTATTTTTAGTTATATTGAAATCTTTCTTAAATTTTGTTTTTAAGTAAATTGCACATGTTTAAATTAATATATTCACAATACTTTGTAAATTTTCTTGTTGTCAATTTCTAGATTTCGGTAAACTTTTAACTTTATTGTGTCTCTTGTGTTTCTTCCTTCTTGTCCTTCTTGTCCTTCTTGTCTTTCTTGTCTTCTTGTCCTCTGTTGTCTTAATCTGGAATTATAATATTTGTATGTGGTGTATATAAAATAAAGCTTAATAACAGATAATATTCATCCAGTAGTATATTTGTCCAATATATTGTATAATATTATATATTTGTAATGTGTTATGTGTTATTAGTGCATTATTATTATATATTTTTTATTCGCGATGTTTATCAAATTTCGCTCCCCTGAGAGATTTATTACCAGAAATTCGTCGATCTATAATAAAACCTTTACCTGACCCGAGGAGTATAATAAATAATCTTTTGTTTAATACTTGGCGCGCGTGTTTTTAATATAATACATTTCCCGAATACAATAATTTTTAAAATGATTTATAATGATTCATTATGATTCATTATGATTCATACATACACACGTATATATTATTTGTGAATATTTATACTTATGAACGTTTTCTTCTAACGAATTCTTTTTGATCAAGTGATAACTACTCTTGTTTTTCAAATATATATATATAATTACATACAATTGAAAGAACACAACATTTTTATTATTAAAAAGGAACAATACAATAACAAAATTCCTTTGTTTAAAGAAAATAAAAACTGAGATCCTTTAATAATAATTTTAATAATAATAAAATTAATAATAATATTATTAATAACAATAATAAAATTTTGTAATCACGGACTTCCTCGAATGACATCACGGAAAAAATGGGAAGAATTTTATTGGATTACTTATTTATAATTTTAATTTTATGTAATGATAACGGTTCTGATTTATTGGTTCTTTTACCATTTAGTATTAAATAATAATAACGGATAATAATAATCAAAGAACCTAAAATTTGAGTTCATTAACTTTTTTTGTTTTCTTTTTTGTGCATAACTCGCATATAATATTGACATATAAAAAAAATTAAGGGGAAAAAGAGAGATGGTAAATAGATAAAGGATAGGAGCAAAACAAAAAGTTTCATATTTATTTTTTCGTTCATATATTATAATTTTTAGACTAATTGATCGTTATTAAGAAGTTTAAAGTATTTTTTATTATCTTGTTATTTATCAGTCATTATCTGTTATTGTCCTTTGTCTAGGGGGAAGTTATTGTGAAATAAAATAAAATTTATAAATTATATAATATATAATACAATAATTATTTAATTATTTGACAAGCTTTATTAATAAAAAAAAAAGTGTCATACATTCTAAATGCAAAAAATGCATTGAGTACCTGTCAAATTTGATGTCATGCTTCAAAAGAAATCATTTTTATTAACAAAAAGTGCACCTTTCTTTATCTCTGTATAAGGTTGGTTGTTTCGGTTGTATTGCTTGTTTTGCTTGTTACTTGTTTTACCTGTTTTATTTAATGCTGTGTATATGTTATGTGAAATATGTGGTGTACATGGTATACGTGGTTTATGTGCTTGTTATATACTTGTTATTTACCTCTATATTCTATTTTCTCCCTCTTGCAGATTCTTAATCATTATTCTTTTCATTCTTAATGCTTTTCGTTCTGTTCTTCTTGAATTCGATCCGATTATCCTTTTTGTCATTTCCATTAATAATTGTAATAATTGTATAGATTATTGTTTGAATAAAAGTTATTTATAGAATTACTTCTAAAAGCTAAATTTCTGTCTTGTTTTGAGAACGTATGTATATATCAATATGTGTATGTATGCACGTAGACTGTGTAATTAATTTAATTTATGCGTGATTGATTAACGTTTTTTATATTACATGTCTTAATTTCGTCAGAGAAACATATTGTTATCGGTAAGGGAATTTAAATGGATTCTATTAGTAAATGAATCAAATGAATACAAATTTTAACTATAAATTATTCGTTCTTTAAAAGAATTCTCGTGTGCTTTAATTTTTTTCTTTTCTATTACATATTAACTAATAATAAATGATAAATTCTAAAATTGGTTTAGATATTTTAAATTTTAAATATTTCAACTAATTATTGATTTTACTGAAATGTTCAGTAGTAATTGTTCACAGACTTTTATTTACATGATATGAGATAAATATATTATAGAATGAGGCTCCGTTGGTTAAAATATATATTTAATATGAATATTAATTTAACTATACTACACATTTTTTTCCAAACAGATATTTTCCAAATTATTCTCTTCAATACATATATTGTAAATGTACAAACATTACATACATTACATACATTACATACATTACATACATTACATACATTACATACATTACATACATGATATGATAAATATAAATAAATTAAATTAATTTATAAATTAACAATTAATAAATATAATAATAATAATCATAAAAATAACATATTATTAGTTAATACATAAAATGCAATATAAATAATTTAACATTTGTATTTGCCACGCGAGATAAATTCAGCTTACTACGAAAGAAACAAACAACAACAACAACAAACAAAAAAAAAAAATTTACAAAATTCAGGTAATTGATAATAATTCAAATTCAATAAACCTATAAATGTTTGACTAAATACTATAAATAATATTAAATAATATTAAATAAATTTAAATAAATTTGGAATTAATATAACTAATAATATAACATATCAGTAATAAACAATGATACTATGGAAACCTAATTAATTATCATTATTTAGTATTAATTAATATTATTTAATAATATTATCATCATATTTATGGCAATGATGAAGCGAACCAATCAAGTTATTATTTTAATTTCCTACTTTCTTATCCGTTTTTTTTTCTTTTTAATCCTTTCTTATCTACCATATGTATCATTCTTCATACCTAAATAAGTTCTTCATATCTACTAAATGCGTCATTAAATTGGGAATTGACCACTAATAAGCTACATAAACCACATAAACCACATAAACTATATTTAACACATGTTAAAGTTTCAATTATGGTATCATTGTTTTTTTTATTATGCATATACCCAATCATAATATTCTTAATAGAATTATCCATTAATAATATTCCTTCATTAATATTATTCATTCATTCAATTATTATTCATTTGATCGAGAAGAGGGATAGAAAAAAAACATGGATGGAAACATGGGCATCAATAAAATGTTGAACAACACATGTATTCTAACCTTTTATATTATTTATAATTCCTTCTACTTTTAAATCAGCCACATATCATTAATCATTTGCTAAAGGTTATAACAAATTCTCATGAAATTCTCATGACTATGAAAATAATCTATCAAAGAATGAATGAGAATAATAACAATGAATAATAATGATGAGAATAATAATAATGAGATAATAATAGAGAGAATAATAATAATGAAAGATAATAATAATGAAAGAGAATAAAGGTAAGAATGAAAGAGAAGAAAAGAAGAATTAAAGTCAAGAGAGTGAAGTGAAAGGTTGAATTAAAATAAAGATAAAAAAAAATAAAATGCATACATCAAAGGTCATTCCTGAAAATTGCAGCAAATATATGTTGCATTCTTTGAAAACATATTTCTATTGCATTCATGGCATTAAAAATTATTATTATTATTTAATATATTTTTAATATATCACCAAAGAGAAGAGAATGATATGTGATCATTATTCATTATTATCATCTATTATTATGTATGTATGCTCGAGAAACCCTGTCAAAAATGATGTGTATATAAAACCAAATACTATACTTTATTCATTTCTTTATTTTATTCGCCACTCGTTTATTTTAACTTCTTTAATCATCCATTCCTTCTTTATTCCCTCCTTTCAAATTCTTTAATCATGTCAAAATTAAAAATATCCAATCATTCAAATATATTCAACCCTTTTAAACATATTATTATATTTTATTATATTTAATATTTTTAATATCCACTCACAATGACATTTACGATTGCATTTTAATTAATAATTCAATCCAAAAAAAAATATTATATAAAGTAAATAAACTTGCATTAACATGACATGTCATCATGCAAAAACTTTTAATGTATGCAAGCTTTCTTTTTTTTAAAAAAAAAAGTTCCGATGACATGCTTACTTTGCTTTACTTGCTTACAATATATTCATATATACACATATACATAAATATAAAACTTGACATATAACATCAGATATTATTTAAAATATTATTTTTTAAAGTATTATTTTTTAAAATATTTTTTAAATATTATTATTTAAATAAATATTAGAATATTAGAAGATAATTTTAGGTTAATCAAAAAAATTTCTTTAAATCTACAAATTTTTTTTTTTTTTGACAAATAATTAATAAGTTTAGTTTAGTTTAGTATTAACTTATATCTAAACATAAACTAAATTATTATATTAATGAATAGTATATAAATATATTTTATTTATTTGTTTATTACTACAATTTCTTTTAAAGTTTTTCTCATTTTGTTTATTTCTGGAACAATATAATGTATACATATCATTATTCTCACTTAGTAAATATTTTCGTTGATGATAATTTTTGTGCAATTTATTCATTTTTGTTATTATTTGTTATTATTTTGTTTTTATTTTATCTTGCTATTTTATTTTGTTATTTTATTTTGAGATTCTTTTTATTTTTTTTATTTTGATATTTTTAGGGAGTATGATAATAATAATTACAATAATAATAACAATAAATTGAATATTAGAATAATATTAGAATAGTTATCTTCTTTTTCATTTTTATATTTTTCAAACATTCCGCCGAAACTCTAAAAACTTTTACAATTTTACAATTTTTACAAATTTTAAGGATAAAGCTCCCAATTGATTTCTTTATAATAATTGATTTCCCAATTTATGGGAAATTTTATCAATTGATTCCCAAATAAATAAATAGATTCCCCATTATTTCAATAATTCCTTATTTAATTGATTCTCCAAATTGACTCATACTTTTCGCACGAGGAAGAAAATATGAGTGATAACGTTTTTCATTCATAATTAAGTATTAATTGTATTATTTCATCAAAGAGTGTTATCCATCATTACATTATTCATTAAAGTGTTGTTCATCTACGTATTTGTTTGTTTTTCTCTCCTTATTATTTAAATATAAATTCACGCCAAAATCACACATTTAAGAAGTTTATTAACGCGGGCTGAATTATTTACTGCTGTTGAAACTATTTACTGTTTAAAGTTATTTACTGCCGGAGGGCAGAATGGCAGCAATAACAGCAAAATATGGAATTTAACTCCCGATTTTTCAGGGGTAAATTATAATTGTCGATTATTGTTTGGCTTTTTTTACACATGGGTACATTTAATACAAATACATGCATATGTACCCTAACCAGTAATTGGTCACTCACTACATTATATATATATTATATATATTAATTAAATTTATTAAATAATAATATATTAAATTAAATTATTAATCCAATAACTTTAATTTTGATTTTATTACCTAATTACACAAAGTGTTTCCAGTGAACCATAGAGCAAATAGTAAATAATAAATAGAAAATAGAAAATAGAAATAAGAATTGAGTGGTGGGCAAACCATACAAAGTACGTCTAGTAAATAAATTTAATTACAAAGAATAAAGTGCAGGCTAAAAGCCTAACATAAAGTACAGTATGAAAAGTCAAACAAAATAACAAAATGCAGAATAAAAGCTTATAATAAAATGAATAAAAGTAAAAAAGAATATTATTTCATTTACATATACAAATTGTATGATACGATACAAGAAGCAAACGATCGATCGCAATTGCCGCAGAAATTTAAAGCATTTTTACACACCATAATAATAATAATAATATCAATCATAATATTATTATTATTGATAATATTAATATAATAATATATCATCATACATTGCATAAACTCAAACATAAATAAGCTTTATGTCAAACGAATGACAAACAAGTCATTATTAATCGGTGTAAAGATTTACAGTGCGTGTTCAATGTAATGATAATATGTATTAATAAGTAATGATATGTATATCTATCTATTATGTACTAATATGTAATATTGATAAATATTTCCTATTAATAATAATATTAATAATATTATGCTGTATATCAATATCAAAAAAAGAAGAATGGATAAAAAACAATTGGATTTTTTTGAATGAATTTTCTCAATGTGAATGATTGAGACTGGAATTACACTGGTTTTAATGTTTGGAAATTAAACTTTTGTTTTTCCATTGTACTTTATGCATTGTACATACATAAGAATTGTTTGACAAAGCCATTGAATTTCTGTTATTGGTAATTGTATAGTTGTAACCGTCAGCTATTATATTATTATATTATTATTGTTATTGTTATTATTATTATTACGTTTAAGAAGATATCAATTTTGAGTTCTGAAAATAAAAATAGAAGAAGAATTAATAACGAAAGAATTAAGAGATAAGAACCATCCTTCTTTTTTTTTTCTTTTTTTTTTTTTGAAAAAAATATGAATTTTATTATCAGACATTTGCATACTTGTACATTAAAAAAATCAAATCTAGTTAATCTCTCATTTGATTTTTTTGGGGGGAAAAGGAACATCTTTACTTGATAAAGTATTTATGAAATCGAGAATCTTATTTATTTAAAGTTTAATTTGATAATTTGATAAAAAAAAAATATTGATGATATGATAAATAAGAAATGTTAAAAATTTATTGGATAATGAATTTTATAAAGTATATATAAAATCACCAAAAAATGAATTTTTTTGATCAGATAAAAAAAAAATCAATTAAAACAGTTAAGAGAGAGAATTTAGTTTAAATAAATGTTAATAAATGCTAATTAAGAGATTGATTAAATCATTGATTGCGCCATAACAAAAAAAAAAGATTTTATCATTTATGACTGTGGTATATGACTATGGTTATTTCATTATGATTACTTTTATTACTTTGATTATTTTTGAAATTATGGTTATTTCATTTTGATTTCATTCATTCATTCATTCATTTTTTATTCATTTATTCAAAATTTATGATTATTTTTGATTATCTCAATTAATCTTTGTTTATTACTTGGGAGTAATAATAAATGTTGTAATTTCTTGTTTCGTACGGGTTTATATGTTTTTTTATTATTTTTTCGTGAGAGGAATTGACAAAGAAATTCCTATTATTAACATTTTCCCCAATAAAATAATTAATAAAATAATAAAAAAAATAAATAAATAAATAAATAAAATAAAAATAAAACGAATGAAATATAAATGAAATAATAGCAGATAGATGTTACAGTTTTATGAAATTTATGAAATTTATAAAATTGTAGTTACGCGGATTTAGATAATGTTACACGAACACGAAAAAAACTAAATAAAAAAATAAAATCCATATTCAGCGCAGTAAGTAAATAGTTTTTTAAATAATTTGTTATTACTACTTAAAGGTCACATAATAATGAATATAATGAATATAATGATTATTATGATGTCATAATCATATGGATATAGAACGTTTAATATATAAAAAATCTATATATTTATCCATTTCTAATTTTTATTATTTGTTACATTTTTATCATTCACTCAATTCATTTCAGTATTTCGGCGTTTTAGTCAAGAAAACAATAATTATGATGACGATACTAATACTAATAATATTAATAATATTAATATAATAATATAATAATAATAATAACAAAAATAAATAATGACAATGATTATTCTACGGCTCATTTTTTTCATGATATTGTTTATTTTTTCGAAAAATCGCCGAAAATTAAAAAATGGATAAAAACAGATAAAATCATGCGAATATTAGCGAATACGTAGATATAACTTCATTTTTTATCTTTCATTATAATTACTTTTTCCTTTATTATTTTCCCTCTTTTTCCTCTTATTTTATTGATTCCTTTTTTTTTTTTGGACAACAAACAAAGTTATCAGAAAGTTATCAGTAAGTTATCAGTAGTTATTGAAAAATTATTAGCAGTTAGCAGTAGTTAATAGAAGCGGTTAGAGTAGTTAGAAGGATAGTTAGGGAGTAGGCTTACCAATTTTTAAAAGTACACGCGAATACACAGCACACAAATTCATACACAAATGTAACGCATTTTGTTCTCACACGATATATTTTCATTACTTTCATTGTACAAAAAATATTCCTTTTTTGTATGCTCATGTTTTTAACATATGTCAAAATTATTGATGCATAAATAATACAACATGCGATATAAACATGTTATAAACATTATAAAACTATGATATCATATCTATTATATCAATATATTTATATTTAAATTTATATTTATATTTATATATTTATATTTAATTGATATTTTAATTTATATTTAATTGATTTAATTATTTAATTGATTTATTAGTACTAAATAAATAAATACCATTACGAACTTAATTATTTAATTTACTAGAGTTGTCTGATAATTAAGTAATTGATTTTCTTTTCGAAGAGAGATTTTTATTATAGTTTTTTGATATATATTTTATGATTAAATTTATTAGTTTTTAACATAAGTTAATGATTTTCATTACGTACACTGCATATTTATAATCTAATAAATGTTCTATTAAGTTCATTGAGATTGATGTATTAGGAAATATCGTTCGTTATTTGCACGAGATTTTCTAATGTTTAGTTCTAAAGAATCCAAACGCTTACTTTGTTTACATGTAACGGTTTGTTTTTTTTTAGTGTTCTCGAATAACTATGTTTCATTCGTAATCATTTATTAACTTATTCATTTATTCACTTATTCACTTATTCACTTATTCACTTGTTTCATTTACTGCTCATTCACCTACTCAATCAATTCATTCAATCATTTTACATATTTATACATTCGTGTTTTTATTTAGAATTTTTTCTTCAAACCTTCTTTAAACAAATGAATAATTCATTAGAAAAATCAATTAGATAGAATTTCTCTCTCGCTCAAAGAATTTTTGTTTATTATTTGTTTATGCATTTATTCATTATAATTATTTACCATAATAAATGTTATTAAAATTGTCATAAATCAATAGTGAAGTGAATGTCCTGAATTAATAGGTAATAAGTTTCTTTATGTCATACTCTCTTTCTAGTCTTAGATCCTGTTTTTACATTTTCAGACGTGTTTACTATTATTAAAAAAAAAAATCATAATCTGTATTACATGATTTATTTAATTCTTTTATTTATGATAATTAAAATTACCAAGACAATATTTATTACATAACTAGCATTAAACAAGATTTATTATAACTTTAATTTTTCATATGTGTGTTATGCGTGCAGATGTTTTTAATTTATTTTAATTTAATTTAATTTATTTTATTTTATTTTAATTTATTTTTTTTTTTTTTTTAATTTATTTTACATAAAATGTCATAAAAAATCAATATATGCAAATTTATGCAAAGTTTTGGTTGATTTTCTATTTAATTTTCTATTTATTAAACGAATAATTATCTACTAAGGAATTAATTTTCTTCAATTTTTTTTTTTTTGGTGGAATAAAAAAAGCAATGAAGCAATAAACATTATTTCTAATTATTTTTTTTTTCAATGATAACAATAAAGCATTCATTCATTCATTCATACAATTTAAAAGGAAATAATCAAAGGGGAAATTAAACCTTATTATTATCAAAGAAAAGACAACAAAACATCATCATCATTTAAATGGAAATTGCGTACGTATTAAAAATTAAAATGTGCATAATTAAAAAATTAATATGTTATGTAAATAGATAAATAATACATTAAATCAATCGTTTAGGTGAATGAAGTATTTAAAAATATTTTAAAATTATTTTAAGCGTAGTTTTTATTATCGTGATGTTTACCTAACATTTATTATATGATTTTAAAAAATTTTTTTTCTCCGTTTATTAATTTTAGCTTGATGAATGCGTGATAACTTCAATCATATAAATTTTTTTTTGTAGAAAATAATCCCCCAATAATGGTAAATAAAGTGTTTGGTCAGTGATAAAGCTTTTTTGAAGGTGAAGATAGATTGAAGTGGAATTTGAAGTCGGATTTGGAGAAATTGGAGATGGTGAAAATGTATTAGGATTAAAAGTTGTAATCCACGTGTAATTGTAATATCTAAAAGATAGACTTGAGATATAATAACCTGCGGGTCTGCATCTAAAGAAAAGGTAAAAAAATATATACAATTATAATAAAACAAATATAAATTTGAATCTATTTTACTTACTAATTCAAAAATGTTATTATCATATAAGATATTAATTTCAGAATCATTTGTATCTACAGCTAGATTCAACTAATGAGTCTCATATATTTATACATATTTTATACTGAAGAGTGTATATCCTTGATTCAACATTAGCACTGGTTGAAATCTTTAAATTAGATATAAATTGTCAGGTTACATTTTATTATTGATTTATTTTTACAAATTAATATTTAACAAAATACCTTTAATCCATTTAATAATAATAATAATAATATAATAAAGTACATAAAATTCCTGCAAAAGGATATACACATAAAAGTTAGTATATAGAATTAATCAACCAATAAATTTTTATTGTGTAAACCTTTCTACATCTAAAATTTCCAAACAACTTGAATATCTTTTGTCTTCAGTGATCTAGCGATTCTATTTTTGTCTCCTACATAATGTGTAGGATTAAAGCACGAGGGAACCAGAATTTGAAGAACTGAGGATTCGAGATCTGGTTCTAACATTGAAATAATTGCATTTATTTCATGACCTGAACAATTCTGATCATCTTTTGATTCATTATATTTGGAACATTTCAGAGTTCTTTCAACTTATTAAAATACATTAAAAATACAAACCAACAATTTTAACTTTTTTAACGTATTAAATTTTGGTATCAACTTATCAACTACAACTTTATCAATTACAACTTAAAAATGACAAATCTTTGAATAATAGAGTGTAGACATGAGAAATTCATTCTAAAACAGTTCCTATCATTTAGAAACTGATCCCGAATAGACTAGAATAATGAAGAAATTCACATTAATATAAAATTTTAAATGTTAATATTCAAAAAAGTCCCACAGAATATATTAAATACTTACAAATTCTTTATTATCATAAATAAATAATTAAAAATTCCCATCTTATCTTATTCAGTTCTTTTGATCTGAAGTTAACTGTTTTTCAGGAGTATCAAATGTCAATCATTCTATAAACTATATTCTCCCAGTGATCTTTAAAAGTCTCTCAATGCCTTTGTTGATTTGACGCAGAATTTGTCGTGTTAATAATATTGAGACATATATTAGGACTTTAAGAAAAATTTATCATAGAATAAATAGTATTTCTCTGCTTTTTCTGTCCTTCATAACTAGGCTAGGTACATCTTCCAAATAATGTTAAGGATCTTCTTTCGCATGACATTTTCTAGAAAGAATCTAGAATGAAATGTAATTATTATTTTATAAAATAATAATTCACATTCTAATCAATATAAAATTCCTAAAAATTATTATATGAATAGAACCCAAATGAATAGTAAATGTTTAAACAATAAGGAAATAAAAATAATAAAAATAAATATTAAATATTGACGTTTTTTTTAGAAGAGCGGACAGTAATTTGTGAATTGGGTAACAATAAATAATATAATCGAATATCTTAATAAATAAAGAACAAGTAAAAGAAAGTTGAATTAAAAGAAAGAGCATCAATTCATTATGACGGAAGCTCAAGTGTGATTTATCCTCGTTTATAATAAAAGAAAAAGAAAATATTGCTTTTTCATAAAATAAATTACTTATCAATAAATCAATATTTGAGGCAAGTTGCAAGATAGAATATTATTGTTTTATGAAATAAATAAATATTGAAATTTCATAATAATTTATCGAATAAAAATATATTCTATTAAAATAAATAAATATAATTCTTATAACTGTTATATTATGTTATATATATATATATATATATATATATAAGATAAAGATTTAAATAATTTAACTATCTAAAGCTATTCTAACTTTTCTAAGTAATAAACCCACATAATTCTCACAGAATATAGGTAAGTAAGGTAATCCCAAAGAAAAGATATTTAAAAGTACAAATAAATAATATGAATATAGATAAAAAATAAGCTAGTTAAAAATTAAAATTAAAATAAATAAAATTTAATTATAAATAGCCTGTTAAAATTCTTATATTGTTGAATAAATATAATTTGTCATTATTATTTCATGTCTTGAATTAATTTATCGACATCTTCTTCTTCCATTAAATCTATATAATTTTATCATTATTATTATATAGATATATTAAATTCAGATTAAAAAAAAAAAAATCCAAATATAAAAATATAAAAATATAAAATCATAATGAATTAAAATTTATATCTTACCAACATGTTTTTCATTAACTTTATAATTTTCATAATCTTTAATTGAATCTATAAAAAACAATAATAATTAAATTAATTAATTAATTAAATTAAATTAAATTAAATTAAATTAAATTAAATTAAATTAAATTAAATTAAATACATAAATATAAAAATTAAATTATTTAATTACCGGATTTTTCAATAATACTAGAATTATTCAAAAGACTATCCACTTCTTGTAAAAGACTTTCTTCTTCATCTTCCAGATATAAAGATGAACTTGGTGATCCATTTTTTGGAATTTTAAGTGAATATTCAGCTGATTCTATCGATAATAAAGATGGTTCTGGTGATACCTCCCTTTTTTGTACTATATAATCATCGTTGTCATTATTGTTATTATTATTATAATTATAATTATTATTATTGACGTTATTATTATTATTGTTGTTGTTGTTGTTGTTGTTGTCGTTATTATTTGATGTTAATAATGAATCTGGTATACTTCTTTGATTAACCACCGTCGTTAATCTAGACTTTCGACGTTCATTTAATCGTTTACCAAATCGAGTAGCCAATTTTACTCCATCTGTCATGAGTAAATTAAATATTTCACGTCCTAATCCTTTTTGTCTGTCTTGAGGAGCTTCAACAAATTGGAATGTTGAAATAAAATCACTATCAAAGAAAGTTTCGAGGTATGCATCGGCCAATATAATCATACGAAATGAAGGAAGAGAAATATAATGATGTGCTTCGGAATCATTATCATTGATTTTATTATTGTTTTCATCATTAATTACTGTATTAAGTTCTTTTGAATCAATTTCAATAAGATTATTCTCTTTAATTTTAACTTCGGGTGGAGATGATGATGAATCACTAAATTCAAATGCATTCTTAATGAAATTGGATACAGAACTAAGGTGACCATCATCTTGACGTGATCGAAATATGAATAAAAAGCTTTCAGACATTTGTAAAATTTCTTCTTTTCTTAGAAAACCATCTTTATTTCCATCATGAAGATTGTAAAAAAATTCCATTCGTGACATTAAATCTCCAAATATAATTTCACCAAGTCCAGTTACGACATCTTGTATCGTTAATCCATTTGATTTAGATCGATCAAAATGATTAAATAACTTTTTGATAAATTCATATCCTACAAGTCTTCTCCCTTGATTATCTCGTGGTGATTCATTTTGAATACCTAATTCATCATCTAATTTAGCCCAACTTGCAATACTCCCTAAAAATCGATAAAAAGTTTTCAAATCCATTCGGGGATCATTTCTAATATTATGTTGTTTACTATAAAATTGGGCACTATAAAATTTATCATAAATTACTGAAATATTATCCTTTGTAAACTTGGAGGTATCACGAATATTACGTATTTGACTTCGTTTAGTAAAACTTTCAATATTATGAACTACTTTAAGTTGATGAGCTTTTCGTAATTCAAGTATACTTTCAATTGTAATACTTTCGAATTCTTTAAATGCTACACTCATTAAATTATGAAATTTGGTTATTTCTTTGATTTTAGAATCTGTACTATTTGGATAAGCAGGTTCATGCAATGTTGCAAAATAGTTCTTTAAAACATTTATAAATGCTCCATCATCAGAAATTTCCATAAGTTGATCCCCATTAATCTTTAATATTGCTATTAAAAATTAAAAAAAAAAAAAAAAAAATATTATTTATATTAATTACTATTATTATTATATTTTATCTATTAAATCTTAAGAAAATATCTCACCTAATCTGTTGATAAAGAGATTTGATTAAAATTTTTTTTTTTTTTTTGTAAAAAAAAATGTAAACTTTTTTTTTCATAAATAAATAAATTTATAGATGTCTTACCCAATTTGAAATAAAACCTTTGGTCCTTCCATAAAAAAGCAATCTAATACTCGAAAAGCAAAGATAAGAGGCATAGAATTGATGTAAAGACTTAAAAACCAAGGTAAGCATGCAACTGATAATTGAATATCTGCAATCCGAAAATGGTCATAAAGCATAGGCATTTTGGTTTGAACATAATGTTCAAATATTATTTGATCTAACATTGCACCATACATAGATGTACTATTTAATCATATTTATTTATTAAAAGAATCAAAAATTAAAAAATTAAAAAAAAAAAAATAAGAAAATAAAGTTAAAACTAAATAACATAGAAGCAAGTAATATATTTATATAATTTAGTATAGTATAATTTAAGTACCTATAATAACCAGGCAACAATTTATCACATAATACACTCAAAATCCAAAATGCTTGTTCTTCACTGGTGTATCTAAAATAATATAAAATAATAATATTATTAATTAATTAAGTAATTCATAAATTCACAAATAATAAAATCTTAACACTTACATCAAAATGGCAGAAGTAACAATATTCATTGCTTGACAATAACCTAATTCTGGATCTTTCAAAGAATAAGCTGTCAAAACACGTCTCAATTTATTTATTCCTTCTGGTTTTTGATATGCAGAATATTCAGGAAGTGATCTACACAGTCAACAAATGATAATAACATAATCATTATAAAATTATAGTCATTTTTCAAGTCTAGTAATAATAAAAAAAAAAGAATTTTAAAGTCACCTGTTCAAATCCTTTTCAATTTCTTCTGTAGAGTGAGAAATTTTACCATCAGATTCTTTATGTAGTCTGTCATATAAACCTTCATTCATAAATCTTAAATACATTGCACCAGAACAAAGTTCCCACATTTCTCCACGTAATCTATCTGGTAATCCAACACGAACAAGTTTACGAAAATATGGAAACCTGATAAGAGTAAGATTTCGACCATTTGCTAAATACCAAGAACAACAAAAAAAAAACAATAATAATATTAAATTCATTGAAAAACATATATAAATATAAATATAAACATATATATATATAATATAAGATAAAATAAAATTTACTCTTCATATAGTCAGCCCATAATTTTGTTTTATATTTATTTCTTGATCTGGATTAAAATATAAATATAAAAAAAGATTAAAGATTTGTTATAATTTATTCATGGAGAGAGAGAGAAATATTTTACTAACCTTTTTTTATCATCAGGAAATCCAAAAATTAATCCTAATCCTCCAACTGGTAACTCTTTTTTAAGATCCACTATCAAAGTTTCCGAATAACATGTGCTTAAAAATGGTCGTAGAGATTTCATATAACGAACTTGCGATTTTAGATTCGCTTTAAGAATTTCACAAAAATTTTGACATTCCGCTTTTGTTCCATCAATTTGAAATATTAATTTCATTTTATGCCAATTCAAAATAGAAAGAGCAAGCATATGGGTTTTACTACTATTTAACCGTTCTACTTTACGCACAGTATATAATGGAATAACTAAACTACATCCTCCTCTTTTATCTGAAGATGCAAAGGCAAGGTAACCTTCCGAAAGTTGAAGTTTACCATTTTGACCTTCTTTTATGTCTGGCATTGAAAATTCACAATTACATTCATGCAACATATGTTCTGTCGCGGGTAAATTGAAAAATGTTTGAAATTCTTCATCCCGTTTTTGATCTTCGAGATCTTTTTTTAAAGGAGGAACCATGGGTGAATTTGGAGGTTCTTGCTGATTTGGTGAAGGTAAATCTAACTTTGAATTTGTATCATCCCGCTCAAAATCGTATAACATTCCTGGTGCCGGTTCAAGAGCATTATTTTTCAATAATCGTTGCATTGATAAGGTTGTTAATTGAACCAAAAGGTCATGAGTCTAAACGTTGAATTTATATTTAAAAAAATCATTTTTTTTTTTAAAAAAAAAAAAAGGCTCCGAAAAATAGAATTAAAATAATAATAAAAATAATTTTTACGTCGTCACGATGAAAAAGATTCGAAAAAAAATACTAAGAAGGTAAAATAATAATAAAAATATAATAAAAATTGATTAAAATTATAAATTATTTTAAAATTAAAATTATCAACATCAATATCTATTAAATAACAAACCTCATTATTGTCTTTTGTTATAACTTTAATGGAATCTGAAACAATTCCACGTTTTGATTTCTCTTTACTTAAACCTTGAATGTTTTTTAATTCTATCAATAATTTAGTTTCTATTCCCAATACAAAAGAATAAAAGCACAAGTAATTTTCGCTGATATACATCCATCCCTGAATTATTCCACGATATGCACAAGAATAATCTTTTGAATGAAAATTGTAATTAGAAAAAATAAATAAATATATAATATCAATAATAATAATAATAATAAATAAATAAATAAATAATTAATTAAATTAAATAAATAAATAATATTTATATTATCAATTTAAAACTTACAATTAACTAATCTCTCGGTTTGCATTACATCAAATGTTTGTCGAAAAGCTCTAGAAGCAGCTCGTACATTTTCATCTTCAGAAACTTCATCAGTTCCTTTATCTATGTTTTAATCCAAAAATTAGTTTACAAAAAAAAAAATCAATCGAATTAATAATTTTGTAACAATTACCTTGTCGAGTAACCAAAGAATTTATCTTTGTCACCACATAATTTTCTTTTTCTCCCGGATCATCTAATTTCTTTAATCCTTCGTTGAAACTATCTATAATTATTATTATTATTATAAAAATTATTATTATAAAAGTTAATTGAAATAATTATCAAATTTTTTATGTTTTAATTTTATAATTACTTTTGTAATTGATTTTCTAACTAATTTTATAATAATTTTTATAATAATTAATGAATTTACCTTCAACCCATTTCCAAGCATCCTCGATACCTTTTTGAGTTTGAGAAACTGCAATTTGTAAGGTAATACCGTTAGCCTCCGGCTTAAAAAGTATACGAAAAGGAGGTTGCTTTGTGTCGAACCTAAAGTAAAGAAAAAAGATGTTATAAAAGGATTTTATAAACGATAATAAACTAAAAATAGTTAGCAAACATACACATTTTGTATAGTGCCAATAACACCTCTTAAGAAAGTATTACTATTATTTGAAGCTTTAGTTCTTTGAAGTGTAAAGTTTTCATTGGATTTAATAACATCCCAAAAATGATAAGCTTGGTCGCAGGGTGTTGGAAGTGTGAAAACCCCACGCGGAGGATCAATATAATTCATATTTTTTTTGAAACACAAGTCAATTTTAATAATTCATCAATGATTTTACGATTTACATAAATAAACGTTGTGGGTGTACAACAAACAAATCTTTGTTTAAAAAAAGAATGTATAAACTACATATATTGAATATATTGAATATATTGAATTAAGTTTAGTTCGTTTTTATTGTTTTCATTTTCTATTATTTTTTTTTTTTTACATTAATTAATTAAATAAAGAAATAAAATATATTTTATTCAAAAATAATATGAAAAATATGAGATATATAACCTATGAAACAAATATATTAATCAAAGTAATTATTAACTTCGATTCTCAAAATAAAACAAATAAAAATGAGTTGATGCTTTTTGATACACATCTACATATATGTTTTTTTCTTTTATTAGACGTATGGGCAACGATGGAGTAACACTCGTGCACGGGCACCATAACCTTACAAAAACATATTTATGATATATATCAAATATAAGTACAACCATACCTCTCTTTAATAGTAACTAATGAAGATTATTGTTTGAAGGAAAACCGCAACTAAAAAAATAAATGTTAATATATGTATCAATAGTTTTATTTTCTAGAGTAGAGTAGAGTAGAGTAGAGTAGTAGAATAAAAAAAAATATATACATATAAATATATATATCACGAGTTTAATGATTAGAGACGTGACCAATCTGATCAATCTGACCAATCACACCAATTTCATTTGTGGCTTATAAAAAAAAATGATTTGAAAATCTATTTTAAATCCATATACTTTTGAAGGAATTTTTTGGGTTTACACATATAATCCATCCATTATGGTAAGGGCTCAACGAAATCTTGATCAATTTGTAATTTACAATGTTGAAGAGGGTTGAAAACTTTTTGACAGTTTGACAGGATAAAAAGGTGTTTCGATATCTTTTTTTTTTCTTCGAGAATTCTTTGTTTGAATATGTTTTCTTGAAATAATAGTTATCGAAACAAAGAATTAATTTCATTACATATATTATTACATGTATTAGGTGTACAGGTTTATTAGGTTAATTATTTCATTAAAAAGAAAAAAAAAAAAGTGATTGCATGATTACTGATTCCCTATATACATTTATTTTTAGTCTACCAAAGAAAGTAAAGCCAAAGAAAGTAAAACCACAGCGACGAATGTCATGAAGGAACTTCGTATCGAAAAATTAGTTCTCAACATCTGTGTAGGAGAATCTGGTGATCGTTTGACTCGTGCCGCAAAAGTACTTGAACAATTAACTGGCCAAACACCAGTATATTCTAAAGCTAGATATACCGTACGTTCTTTTGGTATTAGGCGTAATGAAAAGATTGCTGTACATGTAACAGTACGTGGACCAAAAGCTGAGGAAATCTTAGAACGAGGACTTAAAGTCAAGGAATATGAATTGAAGAAAAGTAATTTTTCGGCGACCGGAAACTTTGGATTTGGTATTCAAGAACACATCGATTTGGGAATTAAATATGATCCTTCTATTGGTATTTATGGAATGGATTTTTATGTTGTATTGGGAAGACCTGGGAATAGAGTTTCAAGGAGAAGAAGAGCGATTGCAAAGGTGGGATTCTCTCACAGAGTGACTAAAGATGAAACCATTAAATGGTTTAAGCAAAGGGTAAGCTATAAAATTTTTTATATAACAGAATTTTGATAATTTTTATGTTTTTTTAGAACATTTATTTATAATTAACGATTTTATTTTTTATTATTTATTATTTATTATTTTTTATTTATTATATCTTTTATTTATTTGTTATCCTTTATTTATTATCTTTTATTTATTATCTTTGTGGAATATATATTATTCTTTTTTATCACTAGTTTGATGGTATTGTTCTTAACCGCTAAATAATTCTCGACAAGATAATTATTTCATACCAGAAGAAATATTTAAATTATCGAATTTTTTTTGTATAATGAAGAAGCAAGTGTTAAATTTTTTTTTATTGAATAAAAACAAAACAAAAAAATAAAGAAAATAAAATTTGTCAACTGTCGACCAAAATTATAATTATTTATTATTCAATTATTATAATTTTTCTTATAATTCATTATTTGTTCAATTATTATAATTCTTATTAATTATTTCAATTATTTCAATTATTCAATTATTCAATTATTATTATTATAATTATTATTAATTTTAAAAATTAATTTATGAATGCTTTATAGAATTATTATTAAAATTGGTTGAATTATTAGTGCAATCTATTATAAAATTTACAACATCAGTTGGACCATCACCAATTACAACAATATCAAATGTTTTTAAATAAGTAATCAAGAATTTATCAATCATATTATTTAAGAAACCAACTGTTAAGCAAGTATCGTGATGAATTCCTCTTGACATTTGTAAATCACCAATAGAATCTCCCATTAGAATTACATTACTACGATTCTCAATAATTTCATGATAAGGACTATTCTTTATCATTACCTCACTTTTGTTAAATACATGTATCAATGGTTCTTTGAAATGATCACATATTCCAGTTTCTTCATTAAATCCCATTTGATTAGAGACAATGTGCATGTTATTCGGATGAAAAAGATTCTTCGCGGCGAGAACTTGTTCAATTACATCTATATATGTAAAGTATATATAAATTATATAATATAATATTATACTGAAATAATGAACAATTGAAAAGAATTGAAATTAATAAATAAATATTATTTACCTCCAAGTCCTGCCGAAAATACCAAAAATGGAACGTTCTGGTTCTTGCATTTTTCAATCAATTCATCCAACCCTGGTCTCATCGCTACTTCTGTCTCAGCTACCATATCTTTTACAACATTTTTATTGATGTTTTGTCCTATAAGAAGTTCATGAGCTTTATTCCACCATTCAATCATATAAGGTGCTTTTTCTTCCTCTGTCATAGCAAAATTCATTTCAATTGGGTAATAATAATCAAGTAGCCTTTTAACTTCTATTTTATACTGTTTTTTTTTTTTTTTTATTTAATAAAAAAAAAAAAAGAAAGTTTTTAAACGAAACATATATTAAACAAAGAAATTCAAAAATTCAAAATATAATATAGGATTTTTATTAAGAGTACAAACTTCGGGTGTCAAACGAGAGCTTGATGATAATATGTTATGCGAACCCGGGTTACGTTCTCCATTTGATCGAAAGTATCTAGTCATTGTACAATCAAAATCTACACAGGTGTATAAAGAAATAAAAGTTAATTTAGTTAGGAACGTTGTTTTAATGCAAAGAAATTTAATGTTTAAACAACTCTACCACAAATAATATGCAAGTTTGAAAGCCCATCTTCGACTATTTTTAATAATTTTTTGCGGGTAGTTTCAACATCATGAATACGTGCGTGTTGTTGAATAATATCAATTAGTTTCTGGGTTTTTTCGTATGTTAAAGACATGTTTTCATACATATTTTGACAATTTGAATCGAAATCCAAATTTAAATTAAAATTATATTAACACGTGAATGATTTTTTTGAGCATTCCGAAACTTTATTTAAAAAAATTATTTAATATGAGTGAGATCTCCTCTTTATTCATATTTATATAAAGTAAAAACGAATCGCCACGTGATTCCGCTCACTAAAAATCGTTTTTTTTTTAATATATCTCTGCGTCGACATATTCTTGCGAGAATTTATGAGTTTTTTTATTTGGTAATTGATTTCTTTTAAAAATTGATATTGTATTATCTAATATTATATAATAAAAATTTAAAGATTCAAGATTACAAATTCTTAACTTGAATTATTTAATTGTATTTTGTCACCTATGGCTTCATTATTATTTGATTCATTATCTAAAATGATCATTTCTCATTTATGAATTTATTAAATTTAGGAGTTGCCTATATTATTGTCAAGAAGATAACATAGAATTCTTCATGTTTAATGTTATTTTTTTTAATCAACCTCTTTTACAATCTAATAAGTTCTTTTTTTGTTAGTTCTATTTAAATTCTACAAATTTTAAAAAAGAACAAAGTGTAAAATACTTGTTAATTCAATTTCATTTTTATTATTTTTATTCTTGTCCTTTCTTATAATAAATAGAAAATTCAAAAATTATAAAATATATAATATAATTTTTTTATTAACAAGATAGTTTCACAAATAATCTTTTTATTATTTAGATGATATTTTATGGTTTTAATATAATTTTAATATTTCGATTTAATATATTTTATATATAGTTCTCAAGAATTTGCTTTTTAATAAATATGAAAATTTGAAATTTAATTTAAAAGTTAAAATCAAATATAATAATGTAGATTTGTAATATTTGTTTTAAAACATTTAACTGTTATTATAATTATTAAGTTATAGAATTATTAATAGTAATAATTTAGATAAAAGATTTATATCTAAAAATTTCAAAAGTTCCAGTAAAATATATTATTCTAAAAGTATAAAAATTCAAAAAGATTTTAATAGTGGAACTAATGAGAATAATTTAAAATTAAATACTTATTATTAAGAATCAAGTAAATGTAAAATTTTAGAATTAATTAATTTATCAGAATAGATCAAAAAATTAAAATATAAAATTTTAATTATTCTGAAAATGATATTAATCAATCTGATGATAAATTAAATCTTATACAATAGCTCATAAAAGTATTGTATCAAAAAATATTATTTTTGTTGTAGTATTTTTCATTAATCTTAATAAAAACTTAAAATTTTTTTTTTATTTTTATATTTATTTATTTAAAACTTAATATTAGTATAGTAATTATCATGATTAATATCTTGTATCACCTGTAAAGCTCTTCTTCTATGAGCTTTAGGAGCTCACGAGCCCATTGAACCCAGTTGAGCTTAACTAAATCAAATCTAATATTATAAATTCATAACTTGTAAGCCCAGGGCTCACGAGCTCAAACCTCAGCTTAACTAGGCTTGATCAGACTTGTTGATCTCTTGAGCCTAATATATAGGCTTGTAAGTTTATTTATAAAACTCACAAGCCTATATATGACTTGCAAGTTATAAGTAAACAAGCTTATATAGTAACTTATGAGCCTAATATACATCAGTAATTATAAATTATACTTGTACGCAAAATTATTTTGGGGTCCTGAAATTGCAATTTTGGGAAAAAAAGTCGAAATAGTTTTTCATAGAAAACAAAATTATTTTACTTAAAACCTGAAATTTTTTGACTACCCAGATTTATTCTTTGATTAAAGATATATATAACTAGGTTATACATGTTCCCAAAATTGATTTTGGATTTTTGAGGTATTTCGACTTTTTGAGATTTATGCAAAATCTATTC